TTAGAAATGACAACGACTAATTTATTACCAGCCCATAATTTAAATAAACCGTAATTGTATGATTGTCCATAATTCAATGCATTTTCGTAGTGATCTAGAAATTATAAAATACCTAATGTACAGTTATTAGGCTAAATACAATACAAACATAAAATAATTTTTTTTTGTTACCACCAAAACCTTCCAAACATGACCCTATAATCGGGTAATCCGGCGGACCTCTCAATTTGTTAGCTAATGTTTCATAGGGCCGACGATTCCATTTGTCATAACATAACAATATAAACCCTTTGGAAGTCGAAATGATTAATACACAAGGCAATTCATTAAATGTTATTGCTAATTTTTTTAAAATATTAGTTTCACGATTTAGGAAACAAGTAACTCTAAAATGTTTCAGTACCGTTATTATTAATTTTTACTTTCCTATTCGGGGATAAAATGATAATGTTTTCGGACAAATGACGGTCCACACAAGATTTTTTATGATTTTCAAAAAAAAGTTTTGAACGAAGTAAAAATAATAGATGAAACAGAAAATGTAAAATTAGTTATTGCCACTCGTAAAAATACTTGTATTGGAATAGACGGACGAATGATCTACGAGTACGAAGTACGAAAACAAAACAAAATAAAAAAAATAAAAATTATCTCTCTAATAATGTCCCACGTTGTTAATCTACAGATGTGATTATATTAAAAATCGGATTAAGATTTCTAGTACAAATGTTTTTCTCAGTTAAAAAAAAAAAAAGACAAATAAATAAATAAACATCTTTATACGACCAATATAGAGAATCAATAATTAAATAATTTGGATTGTCTTTTACCTTACGTATTTTTGATTGAAACTCTGTAGAAAATGAATCAAATAATCATCGACCGAATAGTTTATTAAGAGTGTGCGGAGTAAAAACTGCGAGACCCGAGACTTCATGAACCTCTACACCCGGCTAAAGGCAGTGTGTTTATATATAGAATGCTCAGCAGGAAGTTGCCGAATTATACAGTCGTTATTGGTATAATGAAAATAATTTTTAAATGTAAAAAAAACTGCTTATCGTAATTTCTTTTAATGTGTACGTGAACAGAATAATCGTAAATCGCAGTATAAATAGTGGCAGCCGGATGATGAAAAACCTTGTGTGAATATTATGAATATATGAGAAATAAACAATTTTATTATGGCTACCCACGGGCTGGCCTGTAAATTACTGATAATGCCGAAAAAAATTCAGAACTGAATATTACTAAATGATAAGTCAGGTATAAATATAATCTGATAATAATGTTGGAGGTCGGCAAACAAACTACTTCGTATAATTATGAATAATCCACAGTTTAAAG